GGAAATGTGTCGCACGACCTAGAATCCTCAATAAATAAGGCTAGAGTCGGTCTCCCCCTGAATTACATCTTTTATGCTTTATTATGTTTTTAATGCTTTGGCCATATCATATTATTGTCATGCATTTTAAGTATGATCATACATCAATAATCTGACATTCACGCAAACTGATATTTTGATTAATTGATTAATTCCAAACCATTGATTCAATGAAAAGAGCTAAAAACCTAGTCCCCAAATTCAATGCTTTGTGGCTAGTGCATTTTATCCATTGTTGTAATTAATTAGAGTCAAACACGGAGCTTTTACCTTATATCTTCCCTGAAAATAAAAACAAAGTAAGGTAGCAGCTCTAAACACACCTAAAGCACTCCAAAGAGACAAATCCAATCAATCCAAGCATTTTAAGCAAAAAAAAGGAACCGTAAGGAGTTCCTGATAGTCTGTGAGAAAATCGATCAATGGGCCCGTCTGGATTGCCTCGTCCTTCGGATCTTTCCCATGGCACTCGAGAGGAGCCTCACACATCATCAAAAACAAAATATTATAAAGAACAGGTTGATCTTTGCTGGTCTTAGCCTTTTGAACATACGTAGTAATATTTTCATTATTGCGATGAAGATGGTGCAAGTTGGATTTAAGGTCACATATCTATGGACGAGACCCAGAGGCATAAGCAGCAACTAACTTTAACTAAGGTTCACGATTCGTTACAACATTAACAATCTCTTGCAAAACACTTTCGATGACCGAAGAGACAATCCAACTAAGAACTAACTGATTTTGTTATTACCATGTGATAAAAATAGGATTCATATCACCGGATTGCAATCGAGGAAGGGTCATTGTGATCCATTGACATGATGAGCCAAACAGCAACCAGGCAACATGGGGCATTAATTGCATTTTCCAGAGAAGAAAATTAGAGGAGGTTAATTTGATTGGTAATTGATGAAGGAGATTAAGAGTTGGAGTTGAAACTGTAAGTGCAACAAGAGACGTGACTAGCACGTGGTTGAGAATTGATTGGAACTATTGGTGTGATACTAGTAACAAGAGAACTTTCAGTTGCCAAAACCAATATCAGAAAGATATTCAATAGTGGTAGTTGTAGAAAAAAGATGAAAAACCTAAAAGAAGATTGGGTCGATTAGACCTCTTTAGGCTCTAATACCATATGAAGAATAATTCCAGTCTATATTGATTCAGCTTATATTTACATATCTATAGGATACATAGACCTATTCCAAACAAAGTAAGATGATTTTCATAGAAACCACAAAAATACAAATCCCATAATATAAGGCTAAATATCATATGAAGATTGACCGAATGCATAAATTTGCCCCTGGAGTTTAAACGTTTAACCTTGTGGCACCCTTAAGTTTGCAAGGGACTTATCAGGCCTTTAAAATTTCATATTTCAATATTAACATTGCATATGGCCACGCTGGCAATAGAGTGTGTATTTTCAAATGTGATAAAGTAATTGAATAAGAAAAAAATGATGCAACGTGTCAAGGAGGCTCATCTTCCTCATTGTTGTAACCATTCTTTCTTCATCCTTTCTTCTTCTTCTCTGATGGGATCTTTTTATCTTTATCTCTATCTCTTTTTTTATTTCCTTTTCTTTCTCTATCAAAAACTTTATTGACCAAAAATTAATTGAGAGGGATTTTTTTATTGCATCGGTAAGGATTTGTTTGAAAAAGATCTGCATTTTTTTTAATTCGTCGTTTCCTCCAATTAAAGACTCTATAGAGAAAATTCCAAATCAAGGCCAAGGAGAGAGGAAGAGACTTTATTGATTGGGATTTGCATTTCACTTGGTCATGGAGACTCATCATGCATCTCTATGTCGTTAAACAAAACATCTTCTAATCGATATTTGACCGAAGTTCAAATCCATGTTGATCTCTTTTTCTTTTAATATCTCGCTTTTGTTATTGGTAAATTAAGTTAGGGAATATTTTACTTATGATTGGTGCATTTTATTTTCAAATTTATATCAAATTTCAGTGTTTTTGGATGCTAGAGATTTCTAATTAGATTTTTCTTTTCTTTTTAAGTATTTATTTTTGATTTCATTTTATCTCTTTAATCGTTATTTACGATTACTAATATTTGTTATTTATTTTAATTCTCTCTAAGCAAGAGTTTTATTTCTTTCAATGTTCGTGTTTAAATCTCTCACAAGGTAGTTTTATAGTGTCTGACTTGTTGGATGACATAGGAATATAAATTAGAATAAAATTTTGTGACTTTTATGTCATTTTAACAAATATCGTTGGCCATTTTTTTATACGTTTGTGTGCCATTTGTCTTTTTGTCTGACATATCAATGTGATTATATACACATGCTTTTCAAAGAAGTGAGAAGTGCATGATGGTAATGAAATTCTCAAATTTAGGGGCATGATAGGTCCCACACAAACTTAAAAGTGCCATAAAATTAAACGTGTAAACTTCAAAAATTATGTTTTGACAGAAGACCTCTTGCCATCCCAATCAACACATTGTTAATCTTTTATTTTCTTTTTACTTGTTTATGTTTCTTGTATTAGTTACCTTCACTTATTTTGCCTATTTAAGTTTAACTAGTTTAATTATTAAAATGGAGTTAATTTAATTATTAAGTTGAAAACCATTAAAAAAATATAAATAGTGATGGAATGATGTCGCCAAATGTTTTGCCGATAAATTTTTTTTCTGACTTTGTTTTTGTTAATAAATATATTATGAGCAAATACATAATAGTAATATTTTTATTATTAATAATAATTCAGGTTTTGGGTTGTGATATATCCTCCTAATCACAAGCGTATGAAAAATATTTTTTTAAGTTAATTTCAAATTTGTTAGGTAAAATACATCATTTAACCCCTAAACTTTGGCAAAAAAAAAAAAAACCTTATGGTACCCTAAAATATAAAATTGACCTTGTGACACCTTAAACTTGACTTTTTGCAACAAATTCACACCTCCTTACACTAAAAATAATAAATTTCTTTGGAATCAACCAATTCAGTTTTAAACCAGAGAGTAGATAAAAAAGTTTGGTGTGGTATTGGAAAGGTGTTAGGCAACCAAACTGCTGGGTTAGAAATCAGCATCATTTGTTGTCCATATATTCACAATAAGCAATAATAAAATTAACTCTAATTGAGATGTAAAAGTCTTTTATGCAATGTTTTGAAGTCCACGACAAACTAGCATGTCATCCCATCCATAAAGCATGAAATAAAACATCCAAAGAAGGGGGGAAAAGGAGAAAAGAGTTACAACCAATATCCTATTAATACATTCTACCCATTAACCCATTAAAATTTTTCAACCCATGAAATAATTACAAACAATCAATAATAGGACCTATTAAGATCCTTTACATCAAACTTAAATAATTATTTAGCAATAAATAAATGTAACCATGCAACCATAATCACAGAATATATACACCAACAAGATTAAACATACACACTCATTCATTCATAATAACAAAATAATGAATGTTAGTGTTGATATATTGTAAGTTATTGGTTAGATGGATTAGATTAACAAAAATTAAAGAATAACAAAGTGCATAAAAGTAAAGAACTGAACTCTAAAATGCATAAAGATAAAGGAATAGTAAAATAAAGGCATTAATTTAAAGGTTTAAATAAGATCTGAATTCAAAGTCTTGATGTTCATTATAGTTTATGAACAAATACACTCATCACTACTCATCTTTTATTGATTTTATGTTTATTTAGTCCATAATGAGTCGCATTCGTGATTCAGAGCAAGATAGCTCTGTGCTGTACTCAAATTAATTCCGAATCGAGACCATTTTATTGATTTATGCATTATGAACCTCTGAAATGAAGGTCCGTGCACCACTTCTTTCTTTAGTGGAAGATAAGAATTTCTCGGGTGGGAATGCTTGTTGACTAAGTCTCTAATTCCAACAAGCGACTTTGAACTTTGTTTGCGGTTAGCTGAGAATGTTCTGGCATCTTGCCAGTTAGCTCTCATTAGCTCAAAAGGGAATGATTGACTTGAAGGATAGAATAGAATAGTATGACAATGGAACCATTAGCATAGATAGAGGAGTTCTTAATCCGGGCGAAGGTGGCGAATGACATAATTGCTTCTTTCTCTTTTTACAGGGCAGAATCCGCTATTGTTGAAGAAGCTCAGAGTTCAAGTGATGAGGATCAAATCTCTTGTTGAGGAAGCAACCAATGTTGCGGGAATGGGAGCTGCTTTCTATTTTTTGTATATTTTCTATTTTTTCTATTTTAACATCTAATTAGTGATGGATTTATATATTTTTCAATTTTTTTTTAATTTTAGCAATAATTATTGATGGACTGATGTCGCCAAATGTTTTACCGATAAACTTTTTTTTCTGACTTTGTTCTGTTAATAAATACATTATCAGCAAATACATAATAATAATATTTTTTTATTATTAATAATAATTCAGGTTTTGGTTTGTGATATATCCTCCTTATCATAAGCGTAAGAAAAACATTTTTTAAGGTAATTTATTAGACAAAATACTTCATTTAATCTCTGAACTTTGACAAAAAAAACCTTGTGGTACCCTAAAATATAAAATCGACATTGTGGCACTCTAAAGTTTACTTTTTGCAACAAATTCACCCCTCCTTACACTAAAAACAGTAAATTTTAAGGTTTTTTTTTTTACTTTTATTTGCAAAATGTTGGTTTAATATGTGATCGATCTAATTTTATAAGTTGAGATATTCAATAGATTAAATAAAATATTTAACAAGTACAATTTTATAAGTTGAAGTGTTCAATGGATCAAACAAAAGTTGAGGGTGCTATAAAATTTTTTATGAAAAGTACATATATGAATTTATGTATTGAGCGTAATTTGTTAACATCTAATATAACATTTAACATACATATAAACAGCGTAATTTAGGGGAAAAAATAACATTTATAAATAGTGTAAGAGGCAACGAATTGTTAATAATTAGCACTCAACATATCCAATTCTAATCTGCATTATATTATTATCATCTAAAATAGTAGGCAAAAGGAGGAGAAAATACTTGGCATCTGAAAATAGCGCTACAACTAATGAAACAGGAAAATGCAGTTTCATGGCTGAACCAAAAGGGAGCTAAAGTTTCCCCTACAAGGAAATGGCAAAAACAACTCATAATTTCAATCGCAAACCAGAAAAATAGTATAGTCTCTTCATTAAGCTTGCCAGAGGATGGTTGTCTCTGCAATCATGGAGGTGACTGTGTAAGGGTCCATATTTGAAGCAGGCCTTCTATCCTCAAAGTAACCTTTCCCAGCTTTCTCTGTTTGCCTACCAACTCTAACCGAAGCTCCACGATTTGCCACACCCTGTCAAACAATATTATAGTGCAAAATTATACTTTTATTTCAATAAATAATAATGCAATAGCTATAAATCCAATCCAGCCACCCAGCTCCTTATAATAGTAAGCTTGTCTGCAAACATACTTTTTTGAGCTTTTAATCACAATTAAAAAAATAGCTTAAAGCATTATGGTTTGGAGGCCTGTAGCTTTTGATTTCTCTCTTGGTTAGCCCAATATGGGAATTGTCTCATCTTTGGAGCTTCTACTCACAATTTTAAAAGATTTTTTTTTTTTTTTTGTAGAACCTAGAGGTATTAATTCCCTTTCCGCCGTAAAGCATAAAAAGTTTTTATCACTTTCAATATATGTATTTTCTGGGGATTGAACTTGTATTCTTATCTTTAAGGAGTTCAAGACTGCCCGACCAACACATTATTGGTTAGATAAAGATAAATTTAATGACAAGAAAAATGGAATTATGATACATCAATCGATAATGAAATTTAACATAATAAAATTAAAGGCATTTTTTGTATAAATGTTACTTTGGAAATGCATTGTTATATTATTAAAATATATATATATATTTTGTTTATTATGCCCACCAGACAATTTTAATTAATGTATCTTTTCCTTGCTGTGGAAAAGAAGCAACACAACCCTTATGTCCAAGGGATACCTTGTTGAGGATTGAGATATACTAATATAGATTTTGATTATATTACATTACATTCTATTATGTCCACAGGATATCAGGATGGTTAAGGATTTGCAATGGAGTGATAGGGTCGGGAGAGCTATTCCTTCGTGCATTTAATAAACAAAATAACAAATTATCAAAAAAAAAAAAAAAAAAAAAAAAAAAAAAAAAAAAAAAGAAAAAAAAAGCAATTCAACAATTACCCATAAAAAAAAAAAAAAAAAAAAAAGAAAAAAAAAGCAATTCAACAATTACCCATATGAATTTGTTGATGTCAGCAGTTTCATGAAGTCCAGTTAGACGGCGCTCATTGCCTTCACCATAAGCAGCAATATGTTCCTTGTGCCTTAATCCAAGCTTTTCAATGGCCTTTTTGATTATTTCATAACCGTCATCAGCTCTCATGGACTTGGTGCTGTAAATGAACAAGAAAAGGCTCTTCAACCTTTCATTAATTGCTCTTTGGAAATGCAGAAAAGAGAATATATATATATATATATACACTTTTCATTTTTTCACTTGGAAATTGCAATGTAAAGCCAATATCAAACGGGGAAGATAATTGTGCAAATTACCTGTAATTTACGTGAGCACCAGCTCCATTCCAATCACCCTGGCAGGACAAGGCAGTCAATCAAGTTAAAGCCGCAAAAAACAAATTCCACGAGCATATGCACAGACAGAGGAAGAATGTTTATCACAAAGAAGTATTGCAGAAACAAACTTTGACCAAAGAGAAAAAGAAGAACAAAAGTACCTGAACAGGTTTTGGGTCTAAGGAAAGAACTGCTCCAGCAATCTCTGTAATCCTCTGATATCATGTAAATCATGGTATAAGAAACACTTGTTTATTCTTAAATTTACATAAGCAATAACTTGGAAAATATTTAAATCAACAATAGATTCAATTTTATTTTTTTAATCATTCTTATTATTTTAAAAAAATCAATAATACTATATCCTTGCAGCATTAAATTTAAAATGGTCTAATGTCAAATACTTCAAAACCATTTCTTCTTCATAAATCATCTCATTTCAAATCATGAAAATTTGACAAACCAGCATTCGTTTTTAATTGAATTCTTAGAGAATTTGGCCTTCCAAATGGAGTAAAGTACCTCAAGAATATAACGAGCCATCCAAACCTCATCTCCAGCAGAGATACCAACAGCAGGGCCCACTTGGAATTCCCACTGCATGACAACAAATATACTAATGATAAAAACTGGCTTGCTGCATCATAAGGGAATAAAAAGGTAAAAAGACGTAAATAACCTGGCCAGGCATAACTTCTCCATTGACCCCAGAAATGTTAATCCCGGCATGAAGACATGCTTTGTAATGAGAATCAACAATGTTACGGCCAAAGGCCTTATCAGCACCAACACCACAGTAATAAGGGCCCTGTTTTAATTAACCATACAAGCATCTCAATTTACTATCAGAAGAAACAGAAAGGACCTTACATGTAACCTAAGCAAGAGTGTTAACATTCAATTAGAGCTGACCACTGGTCTGGTTCAGATTGAAATCGAATAAGAGATTAGAATCAATCAAGAAATTTTGGTCCTGAATCAGACCAAAATTGAAAGGGAGTTAGTAGAAGAAGATTAGAAGGTAAAAAAAAAGGTCAAATTGAAATGAAACTGAAACTAGGAGGCCTTTAAATAGAATCAAAGGCGATTTGCAATCCATTGAATCCAGATTGAACCGAAATTTTAAGGCTCAATTTAGGTTCTCATTCCACTCCAATCTCAACTACCATATATTGAACCGGAACCACCAGTTCATTGCACGGGTCACCCCTACATTCAATTAATTTCCCTATAGTTACTAACTAATGTGACAACAAGTAGCTATAGACAAACTCTATGCATTTAAAAGGAAGAAAAGAACAAGATGAAAGCAAAAACGAAAAATAAAAGAATGAGAATAATTATCATACCTGAGGTCCAGGGTAACCACCTGTTGGCCACCCAAGTGGCCATCTGGTTTCTTTTTGCAACAAGGTGTACTCCTGTTCTATCCCATACCTTTTAGAAAGAAAGGTAAACATAATTAATACATGAAATAGAACTTGGAAATCAGAAGTTCAGATATATACCAGGGTTCCTCAGCAACAACATCTGGATGGCTAAAAATTTTTGCAGCATTATATCTCTTGTTTGTTGGAATTGGCTCCCCACTTGGTGTATAAGCATCACACATCACCTATCAATTTAGAAACAAATTGATTTCTGAATAATGAATAAACTGATAGAATATCCTAATACAGTAGAAAATTAAAAAATAATAATAAAAGATAAAAAAAACAATTAATAAATCAATCAAAGTTATTAAACAAGTGAAAAGATCAGTCTTACCAGGATGCTGTTACCCCTTCTAAATGGGTCCCTGAATATTGCTTGTGGGCTATTTTCAAGACATCAAACAAAGACTAATTAAATATCCAAATTGTAAACATGTACAAGACAATGGAGAAAGACAAAAGAGAGTACTATAAGATGACTTCACTATCATCTCCAGGTGCTTGGCCTGTGCTTGAACCATCATAGTTCCATTTTGGAAGGTTTTGGGGATCACTTACAGGTTCATTAAGAGTCTGTTTCAATTCCATGTAAATCAATGTAATTTTCTTTATAAATATTAATTAATCAAGAAAATATAAATAAGAAACATGAGATTACTCTAGCTTTGCTTCGAATGTCCAGACCAGATCCACCGATCCTAAATTTATTTAACAAAAAGGATCACTGATTTTATATTGCTGAAAATAATTAGAACCCATTAAAAGATAAAAGGAAGGTATACAATATTAAGAGTGAAACTAACCATATATATTCTGCAATAATTTTCTCAGTTGTATCAGAAAGGTTCAAGTTGATAAGATCCGATAGAAGAGACATTTTCACCAATAAACGATCGGTAATGATATCTTTCAGAGAGATACAGAGAAGATTATATGTTCTGGGAGAAGGGAAGACAGGAAGGAGGGTATCAAATGGCTACTCACTTGTTATTTCTCTCTGTATATATATAATGCATCTAGGCCGGTAAATTATTTCGATGAGTTTAACTAGCTGAGCTCCTATCTACACTATAGAATTTTTTTTTTTTCTTTTTTAAATTACTCAATAGAATTTATTTAATAAACGAGCTAAACTTGAATTTATAAAAAGATATTTATTATTATTATTAATTATAAATCATAAATGAATTAATTTTTAATTTTTATTTTCAAGATAGAAGAGTGTAAATCAAATTTAAATTTGAATATATTTTTAACCATATCTTAACTCGATCTGGGTTCAATTAGTTTATATTTTTAATAAATTTAATTTGAGTATTGTTAGAAGCCCACTAAAAATAAGATAATTATTTATAACTTTGGAAGAAGGTTGACATTTTTATAATCCATACATTTTAAGAGTGTACATGTTATAAGAAGTCTTTGCATTGTCTTTATAGATTAACCAGCCGAAAATGGGTATTTATATATTATTTCCATAATCATTATTTTTTATAAACTATTGTGAATTATCAAATGTTTAGGAAGAACAATAAAAACTTTACTTGAAATAAATCAAGTAATGGTAAATATTAAAATAATCTGTAATAAATAGAACTATAACATTATTTGTAATAGCATAAATATTTTGAATATGTTTATTATATGGATATAGATATGTAAAAAAATTTAAAATTGCAATTATCTAAATTAAATTATTTTAAAGATAATAGTTAAATAACATAGAAATAATCAAAATTTTCAAATTCATAATAATCTATACAATAACTATCAAACATTAAAAATATTAGTATTTTTTGTAATGTGCGTTGCAAGTTGTTATCATTTGGTATTACTTGTTGTTTATATTCATTAATTTATTTTTATATTATTTTTTAATATGATTATAATTTTTTTCTTATATTCTCTAGATATTTATATAATGTCAAGATATGATTTTATGTATAACAACTTTAATAATATGATTATAATTTTTCTTTATATTCCTAGATATTTATAATAATGTCAAGATATGGATTTTATGTAAACACTTTAAATTAAAAATTTTAATTTCATAATTAAATAATAATTCATATTATAAGCAATTTAGTATTTTTTCTTAAACTAATGTTTAATATGATAGGACAAACATTTAAAAGCCTAAGTATATTTAATAAAATAATTTAGAGCGATAAAATAAAATTATGACAACATTAAAAGCTAAGTATATTTAATAAAATAATTATAGACGATAAAATAAAAAAATTATTATTAATTATAAGATTAGACTTAATTAGCATCAACTTCTTTTTTAAAAAAAATAAAAAGCATAAAAGCATTTGATTAGAAACAATCAAATATTGATGAATTAAGTTTCAGTATTTCATACATTTTTACACAATTAAAAGATGAATAACATAATAATAAACACATATACACTTATATTAAATATTTTTAATATATTATTATTCATTTACAATTTTAAATATATAAATTAAATACATATTTTTGAATATATAAGCTAAAATAAATAAATTAAATGGAATAGATTAGATGAACTAATAAATAATTATTAATTCTGAATTGATTTTGAAATAATATTTTTATATTTTTTTTGCATTTAGAAATTTATTCTAAAATTAAAATAATAATCTATTTTTTGAAATAATTAATATCGTAAATAATCAATGATTGAAAATTTAATTAAAATAATCATATTAAAACAGTATAATAATATACTTTTTTAATCAATTAATAAACAAATATTAAAAAACTATAATTTATCAATTATTAAAAACTCAAGTTATTTAATAAACTCAAACTATTGTTAATTATCCAATGATATTCAATATCCAATCAAACTACACAAAAATAAATAGAATTCTAAAATTTCTTAAAAAGAAAAATAGAAAGCTGAGAGGGGAGAACAAACAAAAATATTCAAGTTAGCTATAACTGTGAAAGACTGAATTGCACAAAAGTACAGATCCCCTATCCATTTTGCTCCGGTTTGAAGGGGAATGACAAATCTTAATAAAAAGAAATATGAATGAAATCACTATCTATGATTATAGATGACAAACCAATTCAGGGCAATGTGCTCCAACCAAGCCACGGACATGTTCAAAATCCTTGGTATGGAAAACCTTGCGGCAAACCGGATATGATTCCACATATGTTCTTCATTTATGCCTTGCAGGTCTAATAACACTAGTCCAAGGGACCAACGGTCGGAGGGACCACATTTTCTGAAGTTGTGAACGAAATAGAAAATTACATATTCAGATCAAATGGATATGATATGATTGTAGAAAGTGGATGTTATGATTTTTTTTTGCTGTAGTTCGTGTGCAAGGATTGTTAGCTAATGCATTTATGTTATTTATAAATGCGTATTTGGTAAGAATTTGAAGAGACAATTGACGCTATCAAAATTTTTGGTTCCAAAAAGGTTATTTGCACATAACTCCTATATTAATTGTCTATATTTTTTAAACGAAAAATTAAAATTTTATTTTCCACCAAAATTTTTCCACTAAAAAGGGATGGCCAAATTTAAAAATTTTGATTAGGAGGTAAAACTCGGCATTAATTAGAAGAAATCAATGGGTTTTTGATGTGATTTATCCTTTTATTACGGTTAGAAGTCATTAATTGTGTTTATGGAATAAAATAGCATGAGATATCTGACTTTCAAAGCAAACATTCAATTAATGCAATGTTGGGGGCAAAATAGAAAAGATTTGGCCAAAGATTATAGTTAAACTAAATGAATGGGAGAGAATATATATTTAAAATTATTAAATATGAATTTAAATACTGTCTTTTTTAATATCAATTTTAAGATTCCTTATTGCGTTTAAATAATAGCCGTTTACTATAATAATAAATTACTAAAGGATATTTTTATTTTTTTCTAATTGAGTTAAAATATTTTTTTATATTAATATTCTTAATTTAATTCTATTTAATATTACGATTTTTTAGTGATTACATATATTCTTAATTGAGTTAAAATAAGTAATTTTTTTTTTGTTTTACAAAATATTATAATGTATTTGTTTATATTCGTAATGTGTCCTTAATTATCGTAATAATAAATTACTAAGAATAATTTTATCCATCAAAATATTCCTTTGATTTCCACATTTATATAATAAAAAATTATCATATTATTAAAATTAAATATTACATTTGTTAGATTTATAATTTTATTTTTTAAAAAGATAAACCTTGCAAAACACCAGCTGAAAGCATAATAGTACGGATGTCTTACAAGTTGCCTACCATTTTTTTTTCCCCCTTTTTTTAAAGGGCAAAGGATAAACATATCATTATGCTATTTTTGTTTGATTTGGATCACAACGGAAGGAGAGTCAAATAGTAGAATCTTAGGTATCAAAGCATTGAAGTTGTTTTTTGACTCAAAGCTATTCATCACAAAGTTCAAAAACACCTAATTTGCTTTTGATTCACACGTATAGAGAGAAATATAAATATTAATATTTTGATTGATTAAAAAAAAAAAAAAAAATTTGCGCATTGCGAGGATAGTTTATTATTATAGTGAAGTCATTACTAGAGGAATATGATGATTATAATTAGAATTGCTTCTAAGATTGTTAGCTACTGCATTATATATATTTACACTGTTATTCGTGCCCATTCTAAAAAAAAAAAATATTATATATATTTTAAAATTAAAATTTTCAACTGCTTATTATCTCACGCATGCATATATTCATTTTATTTAAAACTAAATTTTAAAAGTAAAATTTTGAAAAGGTTAATTATGTATATTTTATTTAAATTTTGTTATGAAATAAGTGGATGTTCGATATGGGCTAAAACTCTGTATTCTTAATTATTGAGAACTCTATCGTCCTGATTTATGTAGGACTCTATCGGCTTCCATTTATGTAACTATATATATGTGGCTTCTTATCAATAATAAATACACTCTCATATTTTGCTCTCTATTCCTTCTCTTTCTTCTCTCTAGTTTTATATTATTACTAGTCGTAGCATCGCGCTTTGCAGGCAGGTATAAATACTTTATTTAAATAATAATTTGAAATTTTATTATTCTTTATTTTGATTAATAATATTAATAATTGACATATATATTTTTTTCATTTAAAGATTAAACATATAAAATGTCTCCTCTTTTATCAATAGATTTTATTAAAAGAAACAAAACAAAAGGAATGATATTTCAGAGGGAGAAAAAAAATTAAAATCATTGGAAAAAGGAAAGACTATTGTTGCTTGTGATATTAACAATATATTTAATAGTAAATGAAAATTTACAATATTTGATTTTATGTACACCATGCAACTTCTCTTACTTCAATTGGTTCAAGATTTTTTTTTTTTGCTAAAAAAAGTAAAAATTTCATCCCATTATCCTCTCATATCCCTATACTCTCCAAATAAAATAAAAAATAAAAAATATAATTTTTAAAATTATGTCATTAATAAAAAAATTGTGTTACTAATTAATTATAGAAAATAGCTACAAAATTTAATTTAATTTTGATGTTAATCTCAATTATTTTAATGTGCAATATTTATATGATTAATGAGTAAACAATATTGGTGGAAGATACTTTTCAAATTCATAGATAGATATAGATGAGACCACGTACAAAAATTTTTTCAAATTGAAGTCTCAATATAAATTTTTTCAAATTGAAGTCTCAAATATATATATATATATATATATATAATATATAAAACATAATTTTACAAAGAAAAGAAAAAGGAAACCCAATCATTTTATTTAGAAAGAATTTTTCATTGAAAATGATGATCAGCAGACCACAGAGCAAATAAGCACATGAAAAATACTTCAATACCTTCACCATAAATCTGAATCAACTCTTGAGAATGATTCTACTTTTCCGGTTGGTGTCTTGATAAAAGTTGTCTGCTACCTAATATGATATGGTGACAATATTATAGCACTATCATGGTAATATATCGATTGTGGTTCTGATTGGCTTATCTCAGCCAGAAAAGGTTCTAGAGAATGTGTTGATATATAGAGCACCTCTGGGTT